AATTTGATTATATGTCTGCGAAAAAATCATTTAAAAGTTGAACTGGCGGGTAACTCCCGCCCCTGGTTGCAGCGAAAATTTAAAATGACCTCCACATAGCCTTCTCTCTCTCCAATCTCCACACCCACGCCGCCACCCTCTCCTGAACCGCCGCCCTCTCAGTCGAAAAAAACGCCGCCCTCTCCCCCACCCAACCCTCGAGAGCCCGAGACCTCCCCACGGCCACGGTCTACCTCCGGCATCCACGTTCCCGTCCAGAGCCCCTCCCCAATGGCCGCACGCCGTGTGCCCGCCATGCCGACACCGCCAACACAAGCTCCTCCAGAGACCCTGCCGAATCCACGCCGGTAGCCACTACACCACAACCCACCATTCCCTACAATTATGTGTTGGTAAATCAAGGGTTTTGGCAACACATAATGTGTTGGCAATTCTTTACCTTTTTAGCGTCACTTAAACTGTCGGCAATAGTAATGTAAGGCTACAACTTTTATGTCGGCGTTTCTCCTTCCAACACATAAAGTGTCGGCGAAAGTTTTTAGACAAAAAAAGTGTCGTTGTAGCCTACCTAAGCCACTGTCCAAGTGTCGGCGAAGGGGTAGGCGCCGAAGCAAAATAGAGATGCCTGTGTGGGCGGGAGACAGCGCGCCGAAACCTCTTTTTTTATCAGAAAAAGGCTAAGCCACTAAAACAGGAGGCCCACCCATCATTCTCCACTCACGCAGACTTTACAAAAAAAAAGAAAAACCTTGCTAGCAGGGCTCCGCTGCCGGGCGCCTCCAGGAGCCGGTGCCGGAGGCTAAGCTCTTTTGGTTGCTATCTCCCCTGTTTTAGAGAATTCAGCGCATACTAGCTAAATAAGTATGCTCCGTGGATCTACTGTTGCCCAACCTTGAGAAGTGCTCTGTGGAAAGGTTGTCATAGTTCACCTTTCACCTACATCTCTTGCCTAGTTTAGACTTCCATCCATCTTTTGCCTATATTCTTTGCTATAAAATTCAGCAAGTTGAATGAGTGATAATTTTTTCAGGGGTGATCTAAGAATCTTTGGAGGAAATGTGATGCACTAGCACCAAGAATGATTGAATTTGAGGGGTTTATCTAAAGAGCTGTTTGCCAATGATCTGTTTCTCATGCACCATCAGCAACATTGATTGGATTTGAGGAACAACAGAACCCTGAAACAGTAGTAAGTATCCACTTTCTATATTGACAGCTTTGGAATTGCAGTTGTGTGTTAGGACATTGACTCGTATATGTCTGTTTAGTAGGCTGCACCCTACATTCTTATTCTGGTGAAATCAGCAATTATATTTGGTGCAGATATCATCTGTTTATTAAGACTGTTATAAGATATTTACTAGAATGGACTCAATTTTTTTCATAGTCATATATGTGTGATAATTGTGTGAATTTGTGGTGAAACTGAAATAGTGAATCAACTAGTCAAGCCCTTAGCTAATCATTGAATGTTTAGTTTTGTCCCTTTTGCTTGATTTGCAAGTGCAGCATGTGTTCTGTGCTTGCTGTCGAGCTTTATATGCACAAAGCTCTTCACAACCTTCCCAAAGCACACTCCAAACAAGCTATTTGTTTCAGCACTACGGCTCTGCACTTTCTGAAATTTGAGGGCAATATCACTGGATAGCTGATGCAAGTTGCACACAGCAAGCTTCTACCTCTGCACTCTGCAACTTCTGAAAATTACTACTGAACACAGCCAGACTCCAATACTGCAATTCCTTCAGAGCTAGCTAATTACATTGTTGACTGAAACACTCATGTATTAGCTTGCCTTACACTAAAAAAATGAGCTGATCGGCTCTAAGCGATTTTCTACATTGCCAAAGACTCTGCCTCGCTGAACTGTATTTTCTTGCACTGCACAAAGCACTCCGCCACCGCACCTTCATTAAAATTTCACTGTCACCTCCTCTTGTGCCCATACTCTACTCATCTATGCAATTGTATACTAATTTGTATATCACTTCTTTCTTACTGCAGCACAGTGTCTCCCATAAATTTCAGGCCCTGCTTGCTTCTTCTAATACTTTCTACTGCATAACTCTGTCTTAGCTTGCTGTCGAGTCAAACAAAAATATACGTTTGTATAATCAAAGAGCTATTAAGGCCATAGACCATAGACCCTAAATGCTTGTAGCTGCTGTGAACATTAGATACAGATTTTGTACGGGATGATAGTAGAGCAATACTCCGTAGCTAATGTGCAATGTGCAATGTGCAATGTGCCCATACTAACTTGTATACCAGCATGATTCAGAACTACAGATGTGCAATGTGCAGGGAGTGTGCTAGCAATTCTAATTGGCGTATAAAAAGTTAAATTGGTTTCATTGCTTGTTTGTGATCATTACTGTTAGGACAAGTACGTTTTCAACCTTTTAACTGTGCTCGTGGTTTCTTTTTGAACCCTTAAAACTAAAATCATCCACTTGCATCCTTAAAACTATAAAATCTCCAATTTGCATCCATTTTAAGGCTGTTTTGTGCTGACCTGGGTACTACATATCATCGAAAACCACTAGATTTAGGATGAAGGTTGCGTTTTAGATGGTTTTGAGAGACTGAGGTGATTAAGTGTATGGTTCACACACAATTTTGATTAAATATTGTTCTTTATAATTTGGCTACTTGTTGGTAAATTTACCGCTGCCTTCGCACTATGGCCAAGTTAGAATTTCCCCTAAAGGCCTGAAGTTTTCACTTGACTGTCCTGGTGATCGCAACCCTTTACCCCTGGTTCTGTGTAACTGGTATAGAACTCAGGCTAGCTTTGTATATTCTGATTCCAAACATATGCACATATGGATATATGCTGCAATATGGTGCGCCGTAACATCACATTTTATGATGCATGCCATTAAGAAGGTTAGATTTGACAGTCTTTGGACAGTAAAAAGGATTCAATATGATTTATAATCTTTTCCACCAAAAAGGGAAACATGCAAAAATAGACGTTTGAAATTTTTTGTCTTATCTACATCCTGCTTAGTCATGTAACCGGAAATTGTCAAGGATGCTGGAACCATATGCAACTTCATTTGCTTTTGTGCCTTTTTCTGTGGCTGGTGTATGCATTTTGCATGGGCGTCTTCACCTTTCCAGGAGTTGAGGTGCATGATCCCAACAATATGGCGAGATCCACTTTGGTCCCTCTAACTCTTTTTTGCCTTTTGAACTAGAAGGGTCATGCTTTAGTTAAAAGGCTTTGCATGTGTGGATGTTCTAGTTCTGGGCATATATGGATTCTTTTTCATCTCTTGCTAATTTTGTTCATGTGACCTAGTTTTTTTTAGCTAATATCGTTTACAATCTAGATCAGTAGGTGTGTATCGTTTGCAAAATTAAAGATATTGATTTACTGCAGTTCAGCTTGTAATGATCGTTCTTTCTTTTTTGAATATGTACTCATCATCTTTAGTCTACTGTTTGCTATTAGTGATATTTGTTACAATACAAGAGCATATATAATGCAGATGCAAAAAAACATATATTTCAGATAGCATAGGTGCAGTTTTTAGTCCAAATGAGTCATTTGCTTCTCACTTGTCTAAACCGAGCCTTAAGCTATCGAAGATGGCACAATAGGGCATAGCAGATCATGTGTCTTTGCTTCTCTGGTACCTAGGTCGATGTGATTATTAGACAGCATAGATGCATTCCATTAGTAAATTTTATCTATCGGCAAGCTGCAGTTCCATCTTTTGCTCCTTGTATGCATGTTTGTGCATCACATGAATAAATAGTTTAGTTCAGATTTGCCCATCACTAGTACCTGGGCAGTGCCCTTGTAGTAGTAGCTCATCTGAGGCAAGTATGCCAGGAAAACAGAGCTTATGGAGTAGAAAACATAGCAATATAAATCTGTCAATTGAAGGTCCAAGAGGCTGCAGATGCTTAGGTGCCATCTACACATAGCAATATAAATGTGTCCCATAATTTTGGAATTTTGCATACTGTGCATTTCATATTAGGAGTTAATGTACAGAGCACATTGCACTGATATTTCACATTTTTTTCATGTTAGGAACTATGTGGTGTTGCAAGTATTTTGGATTGGCAAGCTTTTGAGGTTCGATCAAAGAGCTGTTACATGTTCTGTAGAGTGGCAGCAACCATATGTGCATGAAGCTGGTGTTCAAGTATTTTGGAGTGGCAGCAACCATATGGCAGCAACCATACTTTTGTACCCAAGTCCTGATCTATTGATCTCTTAGCTTTAGTCATAACCAATTAATACAAGACTTGTACTATGTCTATACATGTATGTAACTGACTAATCTATATCTTGGACCTATATGGCTCTATGTACTATGATCATCACTTGACCTCCTATATATATATATCAAGTAATTGGTGTACGAATGGAAGATCTAATATATTATTTATACAAAAATCAAGTGAATTTGTTCAATGTGATGCCTTCTATATGAGCAAAAGTGGATTTGTCAAGTTATTTTAATTGTAATTATATCTATGCAGTTTTGCCGACAATTTTTTTTAGGCAGGGTATGGTTTGTAAAATACCTTGGAAATGGTTTGGCCAACATACAAACTGTCGAGAAAGGTCTTAACTGTCGGCAAAGGGTTAACTGTCGACAAAGGTTTCAACTGTCGGCGTAGGTAGACCGTTTGCCTACACATAAAGTGTCGGGGATTCTGTTAACTGTCGGCAAAAGTTTCGCCGACGGCTTCTAGCGCGACTGTTTCTAAACTGTTGGCAAAACTTTTTGCGGGAGGTTATTTATCGGCAAAGGTGCCCTTTGCCTACAATAGAAAGTGTCGGCAAAAGTATGTTGTGTTATAGTGAGCCTCCCTAATCCTGCGGATCCAACTCCTCCCTGCCTTCCTCCAACGGTATGACACATCACGTGAGCTCACCCCCAATCCTCCACACCTCTCGTCGTCGACAAGCGGACCCGGTCCACGCCAGATCTGGCCATGACCGTGGGTTCGGTCTCCCTCCGATTGGGGCAGCCATGGATCAGAGTAGGCGGATGATGGAATCGTACTCGAGCTCGCGGATGGTGGACGGTGTCACGGCAAACTACAAGGTCCTACAGTTTTTCAGATCCGCGCTGCTGCATCTGCATACCATTAGTCTTTGACATCAGGTACTCAAGTTCCTACTTTGCCTCCCCAGGGCCGGCGGCGATGGTGTGTGGCGGTCTTCAGTGGGGGGCATCAGATGGAGGACCACCTGTTGCAGTTCGACCTAGAGAAGGTGCTCAGGTGTGCTGATAGCGTTCCTTCTCAGTTCATCTACAGACCCTAGGATGAACAGGTTAGGATTGGCGCTATAGAATGCAGTTGCTCCTCTGTTCATCTACTGCTATCTTCTGATTTGCATGTTTCAGGAAAAAAATACGTGCAGGAAAAATTGGGTGCATGTGGCTTCTAAGGAACTTTTTGGTTTTTAGATTAATCTCCTGGCACTATCAAAACAGCTCCAGATCCTCTGGCCCGCCACCGTCTCCTGTGCTGTCCTTCTTGGTGTCCTTCACCCGGATTACCGATCCAAAACTAGCAGATAGGTTCTCTAACTCACTTCCCCCAAATCCCTCCACTGTTACAAAAGCGCAGTGCAACTGCTATGATTTAGGTGGTATTGTAAATTCCGTTGTTTCTTTAATGTTCTGTGTGCACTACCTGTGTATTACTACTTAAATTTCAAGAAAAGCTATGTGCTTAGATGGGCTTGTCCGGTGCTTATTTGGTCTTGTTTCAGGAGGCTTTGGTCATTGTGTTGCATCAGTCTTATATGTATGTATGCAGTAGTAAATAGAAATATTTTCGGGGCCAATTTATTGCTACCATTTGTAGACCATGGCATGGCAGTAGTAAGAAGAGAATTCATAAACCCTATTGTAGCCCATAGACACAGCTAATATAGAGGAAACTATCATACTTGTCCAGCATCCTTCTTGTAACATATTGTATCACTTTCTTGTTTAAACAGAATGATCAATTGGTAAAATCTCTTGTTCGTGAAATACTTCTTTATCTACAAAGGTTTTTTATTATAATTCATGCTATTTTCATTTCTCCTCTTTACTAGAACAAAAACCATGTGAGTCTACATATAGTGACGATGATGATCTATTTTTCTAATAAAAAGGTTATCAACTGGTTTGTTGTATTCAAGAATAATATACTCTTAGTTTGTTTATATGTCAATATTTTTGCCTAGTGATTATGATTTACAAGAATTTGTATTGGAACTAATGCTAAGGTGACACTAATGACAAGGAATTACTAATTCTAGAAGTAGAAACAATGCCCCCATAATGCTCTGCTAATGATTCTAGACAAATAACGGTACATCTTTTCATTGAACCATTGAATATGATATATTAGACTTATAATGTCAATTTATTAAAGATAAATAACATTATAACACTATATAATTACAATTACCATTCTCTTCCTTTCGGTTTAATTCTTGTCTAAGGAATTCTATAGAGGTAGAATAATAAAGGTACAAAATGTAAGAACCATATTTTCATATTTATTATAGTAAAATGTTTGTTTTATATTGTTTCATATGTAAGGATCATCATGGAGTGCTTGGAGAGACTACCATTGCACAATAAGGGACAAGGCTACATGCCACAAGAGTCCGAAACATGAGCAACCTCCTCCAATGAAGGTAGGTGAACAAAATATCACTTATCTTAACTACATTATCTTGATAAACAAATGATGTTTGTTGGTCGCTAAGTGATATGTCAAATTAATATAGGTTCAGTCCACAGTGGTACTCAGGACTACAAAATATCCAAATAAGGTCTTTTGAGCACTAATCCAAAAACATGTTTTGGTGGAGTTGAGACAAAATCAATTCTACAAAGTGGATATCAATCATCCTGGGTACAATAACATTGGTGATGCCCTTGCCAAAGGTGGTAACAATTGTTCGGACTTTGACATTTGTATGATCGTACTAGCTTTTAAGTTTACATCAACTAACATAGATAGAATAATATTTAATGTTATAACTTTCTCTTTGCAGGTTGAAATGATTAATGGCTGAATTCTTATATTGATGTGTGCAAAAATGGATGAAGAAGCAATGGAATTTAAGAACACTAGATATCACACTTTTATTTCTAGTAGTATGGGCTTGTACTCTTCAATACTATATGTAGTTGCTCTCAAGCTAGAGCCACATCGTTATGTACCTATACTGTCACTTGATTTGAACAAGTATTATGTTGAAATCTTCAAATAATTTGTGGATCTTGCTATGGTTTTTGAAATTTGCGGCTCATGAGATTCTATAATGTGTCATATTTGTGTGATTCTGCAATGTGTAGCCCACATGCAAGGGTAATATAAATATTTTATTTAAAAAGTTGAATGTGTTACAATAGGTAAAACATGTGTTGTAAACCATGTGTTACTCCATTCCACACTATATACTCTACTACAACGTGGAAGTGTTACTAGAACACTAAAAAATTGTTACAAAAGAAAATCACTGTAACACTAGACAATATTACAGTAGATATGTGTTACAAACTATATATGTACTCCATCACATTATGGAAGTGTTACTATAACTAAAAAAAGTGTTACAACAGAGAATCACTGTAACACTAGACAAATGTTCCAATAGATATATAAATGTGTTACAATGTAGTAACACTTTTCTATATATAAAAGAACACATATTCCGTGTTACAATAGATCAGTCTATAGTAACATGGCCAATTGGAGCACATAAAAAAATATGTTACTACGAGAGTTAGTAACACTTTTTCAGCCTATAGTAACACAAGTTGGTGTTACAATATCCCCATGTTGTAGTAGTGATACATATTAAAATCGTCCTTCATCATAGATCTTCTCCAAGCAAGATGTAGTATAAAACCGTTTGCTAACGTATATACATAGATCAGAGCGCCTAACAAGTCCATATATATGGCATCGCGTGTTTGGCGCGGGAATCCGGCCAGAACAGCTGTATATATGTTGGATTGTCACGGCTGCAAATGGGTTTAATTCATTCATGGAGCAGGTCGTTGTGGGCCCAAATTAAAACAAGAAAAAATCCACTCGAGTATGTTATATGATTGACTGCTTTTATGTCTGTTAGAGTTAACCAGTATATGCATGATGCACGAAGGCTTATAAAATTTACTAAGGCGAGAGACGACTCTCGAGGCCTACGAACTTCCCGGGATTTAATTTGTGGATGATAGATTAGTCTAGTCATCTTTGCTGTTCATAGAGAAAAGGGCTGCTACATATAAAATCAACAATTCGGTCGACCCTAGCTAAACTTCCTCGTCTAGCACCCTTCGGTATATATATGTTGGAACCCAGCCGTGGCGGCCGGTCCCTGGAACGACGGTGGAGCGGCGGCGACTGAGCGCGGTCACCGCGGTGAGAGCACGAACACTGGAACGCACACACGCGAAACTGGATGAACACAACAAGTTTGCACTGCGCAACTGCCGCAGCTTTTTCTTGGACTTTTTCATTGCATTACATAGAGGGATACATGGGCTTGAAGCCCGACCACCCCGTCGCACGACGAGCTCCACGATCTCCTGCTTTACTGGATCGCTGACCGTGGGCATGCGCAGCGCGACATCGCGACGGGGGAGACCCACACGGCGGTTACGGCGTGGACTAGGCACAACACCAGCCACCCGCAATTCTACGCCATCTAATACAAACTACTAAAAGCGTAAACAGTTCCAACGAGATTACGTCAAGGACACTAGACTTATTCAAACTAACAAATCACCCCCTTAATCTTGGTGGACTTGAACGACGCCCAGCCTTGATCTCAGCTCAACAAATCTGATCCTGCCCAGTGGCTTTGTTAGGATGTCTGCCAGCTAATCTTCAGTCCCCACGTGATCAACACCAACCACACCTTTCTCAATGCACTCTCTGATGTAATGAAAGCGATTATCAATGTGTTTACTCCTGTCATGGTGCATTGGATTCTTACTTAGCCCTATGGCTGACTTGTTATCAACAAGAAGTCCGAACTTCTGAACCTCATTGCCTGTCAGATCGGCCACCAACATACTAAGCCAAACACCTTGACATGCTCCTGCAGTAGCTGCAACATATTCTGCCTCACAAGTAGACAAGGTCACCACCTTCTGTTTCTGTGAAGCCCAAGTCACCATACTAGAACCCAAGTAAAATACCATTCCAGATGTGCTCTTGCGGTGTACCAGATCACATGAATGGTCACTGTCTGTATACCCTAGTAGAGATAAATCTGAGCTTCTTCCTTTCTTGTATCTGAGCCCAAGATGGATTGTGCCTACAATGTACCTGACAATCCTCTTTACCACAACCCAGTGTTCCTTGTCTGGTGCTTCCTTGAACCTGCTAGCAACTCCCACAGCATATGCAATATCAGGTCTTGTATTCACAAGGTACCTCAAACTGCCTATAATGCTCCTGTACCTTATAACATCTTTTTTAGTTCCAGGCTTTGCTGTCATAGGTCTGACACGCTGTTCCATAGGAGTGTCAACTGGATTGCATCCCCTCATCTGGCACTCCTAAACTATTTTCTTGGCATAAGCATTCTGACTAATAGTGATTTCAGAGCCCTGTTGATTCACTTCCAGCCCCAAGTAATAACTGAGCAAGCCAAGGTCACTCATATTGAAGAGTTTCATCATCTGTCCTTTAAATTCAGCAATCTTGCCACTGTCAGGACCACAAATTATCAAGTCATCAACATACACTCCAACTAACAAGAGTGAATCACCGTCACCTCTTTTGTACACAACAGCTCCACCTTACACTTCACAAAGCCCAAACTGATTAGCTCATGATTCAGCTTGGCATTCCAAGCCCTGGGTGCTTGTTTAAGACCATACAAAGCCTTGTTGAGTTTGAACACTTTGCCTGCACATTCCTTGTTGATGAAACTAGGGGGCTGCTTAACAGAAACTTCTTAAAGCAACACACCATTTAAGAAGGCTGATTTTACATCCATATGATGAATTTCCCGGTTGCCATGCGCTGCTAAAGCCAACAATACCTTTATTGTTTCCATTCTAGCTACTAGTGCAAAAACCTCCTCATAATCCACCCCCTCTTTCTGTGCATAGCCCTTTGCAATAAGCCTAGCTTTGTAGTTGACAATGCTTCCATCTGGACCCCCCTTAAGTTTGAAAACCCACTTCAGACCAATTGGCCGATGATTTTTGGGCAAATCAGAGGGCATTCAGGTGTTGTTCTCTTCAATAGACTGAAGTTCAGCTTCCACTGCTTTTCTCCAACACTCCTCCTCAAGAGCCTCTTCTACACTGGGAGGCTCATCAGCAGCAAGAAGACACAACCCACTATATTCAAAATTCTAAATTTCCTCAGTTGTATCATACAGGTTGGACAGTGACCTGAATCTAGGTGTCAGTTCATCACTTTCAGAGCTTTGCTCTCCAGGTGGTGTTACCCACTGAGCTCCAGCTCCTCCACGTGAATGTGAACTTGATGCAGTCTGTGTGGCTAACTCTTGGGGGCTCCCAAACACTGGAAACACTGGTGCAGATGATGGTGATGCTGGTTCAGGCCCCCTAGACTGTGGACTTCCTTGCTCTGAATCTGTTGTCGGTTGGGCTACAGTAGACTAAAATTCAGTGACAAAGAATTCAGGTCTGTCTTGACTATTACAGTAACTGCTCCAGTCCCAGCCTTTGTTCTCTTCAAAAATGACATCTCTACTTATGTGCAACTTCATTGACTCAGGATCATATATCGTATAGCCTTTGGTTCCCTCTTGCATACCCCAGAAACACCATTTTCACTGATCTATCACTCTGTTTTCCTACCCCAGGCCAATTGTTCGTCACATGTCCAACACACCCAAACACCCTCAAGTGTCCAACACTGGGTTTCTTGCCATGCCAGGCTTCATAGGGAGTGACTTCCTATAAAATCTTGGTTGGAGCCCTATTAAGCACATAGACTACTATGGTGACCGCTTCACCCTAGAATTGAGCTGGCACTCCTTTGCTTTTCATCATGCATCTTGCCATCTCTACAACAGTCTGGTTCCTTCTTTCTACTACCCCATTTTGCTGAGGTGTGTATGGTGTAGTAGTATAATGTTTGATTCCAAATTCAGTACAAAACTCTATGAACTGACTGGAGTTGAACTCACCCCCTCGATTTGTTCTGACTACTTTCAGCTTCCCTTCTAATTTAGTTTCAGCCCTTGCCTTAATTTTCTTTAGGTAAGCCAAAGCCTCATCTTTTGATCTGAGGAGCTCAATCCACATGTATCTGCTATGATCATCAACAACTAGTAGAAAGTAGGCCTTGCCACCTGGTGTTGGAGGTGAAATCTGTCCACACAAATCAGAATGAAACAAATCCAAACCTTTCTGAGCTCGGTAGGATGATGCCCTTGGAAACGGTGCTCGATGTTATTTTCCCAAAGTGCATCCTTCACAAACCTGCTCAACATGATCCACCACTAGCACTCCATTGACCATACCCTTTCTACCCAATTCTCGGAGAGCCCTGAAATTCAAATGTCCATATCTAGCATGCCAAAGCCAAGCTGTGTCAGTGATACTCAGCATTAGGCACATTGGTGTTGCTGGTTTGATCTGCAACTTGTACAACCGATTGCCAGTGCATGGAGTACTGACAATCAGTCTCCTTCCCTGATCAATTCGATAAAAATCTGCAATAAACCATTCTCCAGCGCTACCTTGCACCCAACTTCCTCTAACTGACCAAGGCTAACAATGTTACTCTATAACTTAGGAATGTAGTAAACATTTGTTAATACCTTGTGCTCTCCTCCACGGCCTGCCATGATCATCGAGCCGAGGCCTTCAATATTGACACTGGAGCCATCTCCAAAACGCATTGTGTTGTGCATTGACATATCAAGGCCTGTCAGCAGAGACCGCATGCCTATCATGTGATTGCTTTCTCATGTATCAAGATGCCAAACACCAGCCTCGCACTCAATAGGATTCACCTTCTTCTCTTGGAGATCCACCATCTCAGGCTGCTTTGGCCCGACGTCATGAACTGTGG